TGCCTGCCACCACGCCTGGCTAATTTTTGTATTTTTAGTAGAGACGGGGTTTCACCATGTTGGCCAGGCTGGTCTCGAATTCCTGACCTCAGGTGATCCAGCTGCCTCAGCCTTCTGAAGTGCTGGGATTACAGGCATGAGCCACCACTCCCAGCCCTGTCTGTATCTTCTGCTCAATTTTTCTAAAACCTAAAACTGCTAAAATAATTTTTTAAATATAAAATATATTTTTTTAAAAAATCCTGACACCCAGACTACATCCTTGACCATTTGAACCAGAATCTCTGAAGGTGGGACCTAGGCATGAGGATTTTTTAAAAACTCCCTCGGAGATTCCAGAACTGCCCCTTTGAACTGAATGGGGAGTTGGGGGTTGGGGTGGAGGGAGCAGGCCAACTGCAGTGGGGAGCCCTTTCTCAGCTTTGGGGTGTGTTTCGCAGGGAGGTAGATGGATATTGGCACAGATTGCCTTAAAGAAGCGGGAGTGCCTGAGGGCACAGAGAATCTCATTCCTGTGAATGCTTCAGTGCCTTAGGCACGGTCCCTCCTGGACTCTGGTGGGGACCGAGTGAGAAGTTTAGCAGGTGCCCTCCCGCGCTGCAATTCTGCATCAATCTGGTGACCATTTCGATGAACCCACCGAGGGATTTTTCCAGCTGCTGAATAGACCTTGGAGGGCGGGGTCCACCTTGACAAGCAGAGGCAGCGACTGAGAGGAGGCAATGTCCCGCAGGAATGGGTGGGCCTGAAGAGCAATGGGAGCAAGGCAAGAGGGTGGGACAGGAGCGGGGAGGGCATCCAGAGGGGCTGGCGGGGCCTTGAGCACCAGGCCGAGCACCATGGGGACCATGGCAGGGTTCTGAGAGGGGCATGGTCACGTGGGTGCTCAGAAAGATGACTCGGGCAGCCAGGGAGGGCATGGACCAGCGGGCCAAGGACCAAGGCTAGGAGACCAATAAGGAGGCAAGAGATGGAGAGGGCTGCCTTTGAGGGGCTCCAGTAGCGGGGGAAGAAATGAGAACAAGATGGGCTTACTGGTCTTGGTGTCTGGGGAGCTTCTGCCTGGAAGCTTGGGGGACCCCCAACCCCTTCCTCTCCCACCCGCATGGCCATTCCACGCATGGTCTTGTCACTCTGGCGTCCCGCATATCCCTCATGTCCGTCTGCTTCTTTCCATCCTGGCCACATCCTACTGGCATCCCTTGAGTGGACAATCAAACCCAAAGAGAGGGTTGTGGAAACCCCAACTCGAAGCCGGTGGGACAGAAACTCCAGAGGCTTGGACTTGTGACTGGTGTCTGACTGAGGGACTGTCTTGTGGGCTTGCGTCAGCCTGTGGGATCTGATACTGCTTCCGAGTAGACAGTGTGAGAATTGAGTTAGAAGACACCCGGCTGGTGTCTGCCGCAGAAGGGATATGCGGGAGGGGGGCACCCACACAGTTGGTCTCAGAAGTCTTCTGTGTCCACTGCTGTGCTGTGAGAGCAGAAGAAAAAGTTTGCATTTTTTGCATTCAAACCCCATGGGAGGTGGGCGTGGTGGCTCACGCCTGTAATCCCAGCACTTTGGGAGGCCGAGGCGGGAGGATCACCTGAGGTCGGGAGTTCAAGACCAGCATGGCCAACATGGTGAAACCCCGTCTCTACTAAAAATAAAAAAAATTAGCCGGGGCGTGATGGCGGGTGCCTGTAGTCCCAGCTACTCGGGAGGCTGAGGCAGGAGAATCGCTTGAACCCCAGGAGGCGGAGGTTGTAGTGAGCCGAGATCGTGCCATTGTACTCCAGCCTGGGCGACAGAGCAAGTCTCAAAAAAACCCAAACAAACAAAATACCCCACGGGAGTATTCCCATTATACCAATAAGGGAACTGAGGCTCCTCCAATGACTTGTCAAAGGTCACACACTGTTTAAGTAGCAAAGCTTGGATTCAAGCTCAGGCCTGTGTGATCTCAATGATGACTCTTTCCGTCACTGCCCTGGAGGGCTGTACCATGGGAACAGAGGTGCGGGGTCCTAAAAGTCTGTACCAGTGTCCAAGGCTAAGTGGGGATGGGAGGTCACTGGGCTGGTGTCACAGGCACTCCCGTGACACCATAGGGACCTCTGCCCCAAGAGAAGCGGATATGGCTCCTACCTGGACCAGACCTTGGCCTCCTGAGCCCCTGTGAAACAGGCAGTTCTTCCCAAGGAGTGGCCACGGACCCACCCAGGAGCCTCAGCTGTACCCTGGATTGCAGCCCCGTCACCTCCTGAGCCAGCCCTTCCCTCTCCCTCCCTCCCCCGAGAGCACCTCTCACCACTGTCCTGCTCAGGGACTTAGGGTGCCTCAGGCGCTTCCAGAAAATTCTACAAAGCCAGCTGTTCTAGCTGCTGAGAAAGAAAGAACATGTATCCAGATGCAGAAAATGTACACACAAGCCTTTTTTTTTTTTTTTTTTTTTTTAACTCAAGAAAGGGCTTTTATTGTTTGTAACTCACTTCCTGGGAAGTTAATTTTTAAAACACTCTTATAGAGTTTGCTCATCGCTTGTGCTACATTCAAAAACGACGACGCCAACCAAAACCCTCAGTGACGGGGTGAGCATCCCAACTGGGTCCACCCCAGAGCTTTCCAAGGGTGGGTCTGATCGACGTGGTCCCCCCAGACCAGACGCTCAGAGATGCTCAAGACACACTTGGGGATCAGTGATTGGCTCTTCACTTGCCTTCCACTAACTCTATAAAAGTGTTCTTAAAAACAGTACGGAATAACTTCTTAAGCCCCGGGCCACACTCTGCCTTAGCACAGAGGAGCCGGGGAGAAACGTGGACCCATTGACAACGGGGCACATTCGGCTCCTATAGCCTTAAATAGACGTAGAAACTGTATTACAGATGCGTGTACCAGTGCAGGACATACGAGTGAGCTGTGTGCAGCAGATGGCCAGGCGCACGCGTGTGCGCGTGGAGGCGCGACATGCACCCACAGGCGCGGAGATGCAGCGGGATCCGGGTTTCTCCCCCAGCCAGCCTCCCTTCTCCAAACAAGCCCTCCTCCAACAGGAAACCCACATCTGTGGCCAAAATCCCTCGTCCATCCATGTTTCCAGGGCAGGTCTGCGTCCTGTGTGATTTCCCTGTAGGGGTCAACCTCTACGAGCATTTGGTCAGCCAACGCCAGGCCGGCCAGCCGGACACCGATCCCAGAGAGAAGGTGAAGGCTGCTTCGGAAGAGTTGTGTCTGGACGCGCTCCAGCACCCCCGCTCTGAGCAGGCTGACTGCTGATGTCCTCTGGGTGAGGCAGCTGCCACAGAGGCCACCTGCCGGTGTGCACAGCCCTCCAGGTTCTGTGTCTCGTGATCCCTCCAACCTGGACGGTTTGTCCTTCATTGTAGGAATGTGAGTGCAGCTCTTGGGGCCAGATGGGTACGCCAGTGTAGGATGAGAGGCTGGGTTCCAGTTATTTCAGCATGTGCAGGGCCACAGGCCTGGCGCGTCCGTGGCCCTCGGTCAAAGTCAGCCCTGGTGTCTTCTCCAGCCTCAGCTCTGGGGAGCCATCAAAGCAGGGAGTGAGATGGGCAGGGACGATGTGGTGCTTCCGCTCCAGGCCTCTGCTCAGAGCTTGATTCCGTTCAGCCCACCTTCCAGATAACGCTGAACGCGAAACACAGTCCAGGAAAGTTAGCTCCGTCCGCTCGGCTGCCAAATAATGGTGGGGTGTGCTGGGAACCACCGAAGCTGTAGGAAAGCTCGTGAGATGTTCCCAGGCAGGGCCTCTCCCCTGAACCCCCAGGTTAAAAACAAAAGTAAAAGACAACAAAAAAGGAATCAGAATTCTCCAACACTGGCCCTCTCCCCAGTGAGGGGTCCGAGCCCGCACACCAGCATTTGAGTAGACAAGAGCTCTGGTGCCACCACCCCAAGGTGGGCAGGGTACCCCCCTCTCCACCATACGCCTGTGGCAGCTGAGCCAGGCCTGCCCGGCCCCAGCACGAGGTCTCTTCAGTTGCAGTAAGCCAGGCCTCCACCTGCCATCTTGGTCTCCTGCCTCTGCTCCTGCCCTGGGCCATGCCAACCAGCCAGGTGGCGTTTCTGAGGCTCCATGGGCACCTGGTTTCCCCACAGAATGGGTCAGGCCAAGAAGGGCCAGGAAGAGGAGGATGGCCTCGTGGGAGCCCTGCCCCCAAGACCCCAAATGACATACATTCCAGTCCTGTCCCTGGACGTGCGTGCGTGGAGGTCATGCAGCACGATGGGGGAGGGGCGGGAGCGGGGCTGCAGTCCCCAGCCCCCTGCCCGCGGGGGCGGCTGTTGCATGAGGGCGGTGGGCCTCTGGAGGCGCGGGATGAGTATGCTGCCGGGTGGCCCTGGGTGCATGCAGGGGCTCAGGATGCAGCCTCGTCTTCCTGGACGCCGGGGAGCTCTGGGCTCTTGCCCCCTTCGCCACACCCTTCTTTCCTGTTCAGGGGACACCAGGGACAGAGGGACCTCAGGGTCAGAATATACCCTCAGGGGGATACTCTCCCTCACACACACAGGAATTTGAATCCCAGAATCTCTCAAAGCCCCCTTCACCCACTGCCCCAAGCTTGGCCTCCCTCTGGCCTCTCTACATCACAGCAATTGCTCCTTGGCGGTCTCCCAGCCCCCAGCCTCAGCCCACAATGCCTCCGTGGCCCCCCATTGACCAGAGATGAGGTCTAAACCTCCCAGCACGGCCTCTGGAGCGTCTCACAGTCTGACCCAGCTGACTTCCCTACATCCTCTGACTATCAGCCTGGTCAAGGGCCTTCTCTTTGTGTGTGTAGTTTTGTTGTTGTTTTGAGACAGGGTCTTGCTCTGTCGTGCAGGCTGGAGTGCAGCGGCGTGATCTCGGCTCATTGCAACCTCTGCCTCCCAGGCTCAAGCGATCTTCCCACCTCAGCCTCCTGAGTAGGTGAGACTACAGGCACATGCCACTACACCCAGCTAATTTTCCTTTTTTTTTTGAGACAGAGTCTCGCTCTGCCACCCAGGCTGGAGTGCAGTGGCGGGATCTCAGCTCACTGCAAGCTCTACCTCTCCGGTTCACGCCATTCTCCTGCCTCAGCCTCCCGAGTAGCTGGGACTACAGGCGCCCGCCACCTCGCCCGGCTAATTTTTGTATTTTTTTAGTAGAGACGGGGTTTCACCATGTTAGCCAGGATGGTCTTGATCTCCTGACCTCGTGATCCGCCCGCCTCGGCTTCCCAAAGTGCTGAGATGATAGGCATGAGCCACCGCGCCCAGCCTAATTTTTTTTTTTGAGACGGAGTCTCGCTCTGCCACCCAGGCTGGAGTGCAGTGGCCGGATCTCGGCTCACTGCAAGCTCCGTGTCCTGGGTTCACACCATTCTCCTGCCTCAGCCTCCCGAGTAGCTGGGACTACAGGCGCCTGCCACCTTGCCCGGCTAGTTTTTTGTATTTTTTAGTAGAGACGGGGTTTCACCGTGTTAGCCAGGATGGTCTCGATCTCCTGACCTCATGATCTGCCTGCCTCGGCTTCCCAAAGTGCCGGGATTACAGGCTTGAGCCACCGTGCCCGGCAGCCTGATTTTTTTATCTCTATAAAAACAGGGTTTCACCATGTTGTCCAGGCTGGTCTCAAACTCCTGGGCTCAAGTGATCCATCCACCTGAGCCTCCTAAAGCGTTGGGGTTACAGGCGTGAGCCACGGTGCCCGGCCTGAGGGCCTTCTGTGTGGACTTCAGTCAGCCCCCAGCAGATCTGGGCAGAGGGGCTTTCATTTTGCTTTTTTCTTTGCCTTGTTCACAGGGCAGAGTCCATCTATCAGTCTTAGGATTCCGTTACATATTCAACAGATTTATGTGTCTAATTTTCCTCCCAAAATGAGTAAATGGGTTTTGATATCTTTAAAAAGGACCAAAACCCCACTGAACTCTACTACAGAGTTTCTACAATTATCCCAAAGTATACAAAACAGTTTATGGCCGGGCACAGTGGCTCACACCTATAATCCCAGCACTTTGGGAGGCTGAGGTGGGCAGATTACCTGAGGTCAGGAGTTCAAGACCAGCCTGGCCAACATGGTGAAATCCCGTGTCTAATAAAAACAGAAAAATTAGCCGGTGTGGTGGTGTGTGCACCTGTAATCC